GAGAAGCGGAAGAGGAAAGGGCGTGGAGGTAATTTCCAGATTCTATCAGTGAAACTACGTCGTTGAGGAGGGAATGGAGGTGGGAACATGGTGAAGAAAGCTTTAGGAGCGGCGGCGGCGGCGGTTGTGTGGGATGATCGGACGGCAGCGAGCAGCGGAGGAGGCGTAGCTCCAAGTGGCGGAGGGCTTCGATTTCTTGCTGTTCAGCCATTGTTAGATGGCGAGAGGGGTTTTGTGTTTGTCTTGAGAGGGTTTTTGAAGATGCAACAAGAAATGGGTAAACTGCACAGAGGCTCCCCAACTATGCTCAAAGTCATCCAAGTGGCATTGTATTCGATTGGAACCCTGAAAACTATTATGGAGCCTATTTGAGCATTTTGTTGTGTAAAATGCATTTTGAAATAATAAATTGATGAAAAATGTGTGATAAAAAAAATATTTTTTGAATTTTCGTGTAATATTATTTTATTAAAAAATATGTGATTAAAAAGTATAAAGAGAAAAATGTATTTTGAAAATAATGGGGATCAAACAAGGGTATAAATTTTTTTAGGGTTAAATCGACCAATGACCACCCAACTTTATATTTAGTATCATTATGGCCTCTCAATTTATTTTCATTATTTTCACTAATTTTAAAAGGGTAATTAGCACACAATTTCCCAAATAAAAACATAAAGAGCTAATTGCAATCATAATCTCAAAATTTTTAAAAAGTGCAAAAAATGAGTCAAAAATAAATTATTAAAAAATTAGAAATAATTTTTTTTTAAATGAAAAGTGCAAACGAGTCCCAAATAAATTATGAAAAATTAGAAATAAAAAAATTTAAAAGAGCGTAAATGAGCCCCAAGTAAATTATTAAAACGATTGGAAATTAATTGTTTTAAAAGAGTGCAAACGAGTCTCATATGAATTATTAAAAAATTAGAAATAAAAAAATTAGTTTTCTTTAATTTTTTTATTTAAACATGTGGCTATATTCGTCATTTCACAGCTTTTTGTTGAAAATGTCAACAAATGGAAGATATGGACTTTTTTTACAATAATAGTGACACATAGATATTACTAGTCGGAGTTGAACGTGCAATGCATGTTATTCTAAAATATTTTATAAGTGTTGTTAAATTAATATTTGATATCAATTTGTTTGAAATATTTGATGAATCTCAAACGAACTAAACAAATAAAATTTAGAATATACATTTAAGAGAAAAAAATTGTACTCTCAAAACTCAACTCTATGATTTAATTTTTTTTGTGATGATGAAATATTATAAATGAACAACCTTTTTATACTATATTTGGTAATAAAAATTAATTACTAATACATGAATTTAAACACATATTAAAATTTCTAGATGTGTGAATAGAAATAAATTCATATATAATAACTTTAAATTCATGTAGATCAAAATTCATTAAGTCAAGATTTATTGAATTTAGATTAATATGAATATTAATTAATTGATAACTAATAACACAAAATTCATATATGACAAGTATTTTATAGTATTTATTACATATTAAAAAAAAAGTAAGGTATTATTGAAATAATTGAATTATAATATGGTTAAAATCGTCCAAAAAATGATTCTCACTTGATGTGATAATATATTATAGATTTGCTAATTACCTGTTTAATAATTTATTTGGGCTTGTTTGTATTTTTTTTTAAATGGGACTATAATTGCAATTAATTCTTGCTTTTTCATTTTGTTTTGGGTAATTAATACATAACATCCCCATCTTACATTGTAATTGTGGAAAACTTCATTGCCTTTCTCTTTTGACATTTTCACGCATATTTTCACATTTCATTGTACAAAAAGTCACTTACATTCATTTTCTCAATTAAAAATTGTGAAATGATGAATATTCACCTCTCTTTAACAAAAGGAAAAAGAAAAAAATTAACAAATTACACCATATGTTATGTGTGAGATGTTGATTTTTAATGACAAGTAACACAGTATATTACCTTTTTGTGGCTAAGCTTGAAATGTTGAGCTTTTACAAAAAGTGACAAATTAAGTTATCTTTCGTGGCTAAGCTTAGATTAAAAGTTAACAGGTTATTTTTCAATTTTTTTTATTTTGTAGTAGGGTATTTGTCAATATTCTTCCGTGATTCTTTTGAGACTTGTAGCCTTGTCCACATAGACGTAGCCCACTATGGTACGTTCATGACATGTTCTCCAGGAGTAACATTCTTTTTTTTTTATATAACCGTGGATGTCCGGACCAGTTTGCGCGCACTTCAACTAATTTCACGGGACCCTGAAATTTACGACCGAATACTCACATAAATGGCTCTGAGGGGATTCGAAAGGAGTAACATTCTTTTTGTGACTTTTATACAGTCATTAGTTATAAGGAAACTTTTTTTGATCTATTTCTCATTGGTACTTTACAAAACTATTTCAAGCTATAAGGAAAGCAATAATAATAAATAAATAAAAACTAGAATTATCACAATTTCGTGGAGAATCATAGTTCATACATGCTTATAATCTACATGTCCGTAGTAATTTTTTTTAAGATAAAATAAGTAAACCATTATTTAAGTATGTCATTGATTACTAGGGTCGGGAGTATGTTCCCAAGAGTAGAAGTTGGTTATTGTTTTGTACTTTGTATGTTAATATTTAGATATATTCCCTCCATTGTTTTAATGGAAAGGTGCATGACCAATTAATGGACAATGAGATCAAGATGGGTTAGTATAGTCAACTAAACCATCTTATTGTTGTTGATTGGTCGAAAGTATGCAATTACACCGACAAGGTATGTGACAAAGTGTCTCATATACGTGACTCGATTCATAGTCTGCGTGTGTATTAATTTTTAGAGTCATCAAATAGTTTGTTCTTTTCTTTTTTTTTTCGCCGAACAACACCCAAGACGTATCCACATGAATAAAGAATTGTTGAAATATTGTAAAAAAAAAATTCAGTCCTTAATGGAAAAAGGGTGGCTATGATACCAGTATTATATATATATGAAAGTAAAAGGAAGGATAAAAAGTGAGACTAAAGATTAATAGTCAGAATACTAAATAAAAGTAAATACAAGTAAATTGAAACTTAAAATCACTAATCCTAAAAAAATGAAAAAAATACTTCTTTTTTACGAAAATTAAATTTCTAATTACAGAATGCTAGTTCATGATAACTGTTGGTCTCAAAATCAAAGTTTGTATACCAAAAATATTTGCAGTGAAGTAAAAGTGCAGAAAATAAAAGAACACACAGAATTTTCACCCCTTAGAGCCAGACGTTCAGCCAAAAGCCTACTCACCCGTTAAACATCTATAAAGTAGATTATGCTCGAATTAACTAAGAATCACAAAGTACAGTACAGAAATGTATGAAGAAATCTTCACTTAAAGTTTTCTTTCGCCTCTCTCACACAAAACCCTCTTCTCACAATCTCTAAATTGTATATCAAATATAATCAGAAAATACCACTAAAATATTACAGAGATCAAATCAGAAAACCACATAGAAAATGAAGAGATCTAAACACTTAGAAAGAGAAGACGAAGAAAACTCTAGATTATGCACAGTCCAATACAATGAAGAGTCGAGAAGAAGGGTTATAAAAACCATCCTCAAAACATCTCATCCAACGGTCATGAGTATGCCACATGTAATACCAAGATCAACCAATCCACTTAAGGCAAAAAGGCGTTTCATCAAGGGCAAACACAGCAAAGTCCAATGACAAATGAAGAGGCCGAATACCAGAATAGAGAGGCAACCCACAACAATAACACTATAAGAACAAGAATAAAATTTAATACTTACAAAGTTTCAGCATAATAGCTGGAGAAGCAGAAACTAGAAATCACTTCAGGAATAAGAAATAAGTTCTGCACTCCAGATCAAAGCAAGTATAACTTCCATTTGATTTTTCTGGCAGGAGTTTTTAAGATTCTACTTGGCTTATATGTAGGGTTTGGTACCATTCCGGACTCGTAGATTATGTACATGAAAAGGAATTAAATTAGATTAACTATAGTAAAGTCGTGGATCTTAACACTTTAATTAATCGAACTTTTATCAAGTTTAAATTTAGATTTTCAATAACTTTATAACTGCTTTAGTTAATCTGGATTTAAAATTTGAACTCCTCGTATAAATGTAAGGACTAGTTTAATTCAATAGCCGTGGAAACTATACGCTATTTATTATTTTATTGCTCGTCGCGATATGTTGCACTTGCAATTATCGTGTGAACATGCACTTTGGAAGAAAATCAATCTCTAATTTGTAACTTGAGTTTAGATCACAAAGAGAACCCGAAGTTTTCAAAGGGATGACCGACTTTTTAGTGGTTTCAAACCAAAGTCCACACGCACACGCATCACCTGCCTGTCTAATGGGCAGAGTCGTAGGCTATGGGATTGGGTCGTAGGTCATGTCTTGAGCTCTTGTTTGGGCTCAAGAGCCGTATAATCATTTTAGAGAAAAAGAAATAAATATATTATTTACTCTTTCAATTAAATTTTGATAGGTGACGCTCAAGAATCAACTTACAGCAACTCATGGTAACGGTTTGTCGAAGTTCGTTTTATGTTTGAAAGGGACACATTATTTTAAATTGACATGTTCTTTTCGGACAAATATTTCACTTAATAGAAAATTTTGGGGACTTACTAGTTGTGTTACTTTTCATTTCCCTTTTTCGTTTCTGTTAAAACAGCTTACAAATTATGAAAACAAGTGTAAATGTAGAGAGAAGATTACATCTGGAAAAAAATTAGAGTTCCCTCAGAAAATATTTCAAGGGAGCATTCCATTTTAGTTTTCTGATAGGGCTTGAAAAGTCACAAAACAATTCTTATTATTTACCAGCAAAGTAACATACATTAAATGATGTCTCCAGCACATAGGACAACAAATAAGCAAGCAAATAAACTGCTTGTACATTTATTTTATCAATCAACAGTACTATAATGTTCCTCGAGAAACGACAGGGTCCTAAAGGTTTCGCTAGTTAGCACGTTAAATTATTGCCGGGATCAACTTGAAGTTGATCGCAGTAGTCTCTGTAGTACCCAACTCGAGTATTAACTGTGCCTGGATTAGCGCCATCGCATTCAAGAGCACCATTAATAGCCCGAATGGTAGCCCCGAAACCTTGACCCGAAGTTATACTATCATGACAATTATTCATCCAATACCAAAGAGCAGTCCTGAATGACACTACGCGATCCGTGGCTACAACTTCCGGATTGTTCAAACCATCAAACCCTATGCTATTCCCTGCTGGTCCGTAGTTGAAGTTCCACGATAGTTGTATAGGACCTCGTCCATAGTATCCCTTGCCGGATGCACATGGATACTGGGTGTTACTCTCGTCACAATAATCTCTAGACGGACCATTTATTTCTTCTATATAGCATAAATCTGCAAAATGAAATCAATTTTTGTGTTAAAAGCTTAAACCCTATTATCTAAATAAAGCTATCGATTATTGGTATAAGCCTGAAAAGTATATGTATTATTTTAAAGGAAAATAAATTATTTAATTAGTCAATGCATTTAAAAGGCTAATGCTACAATTTGGACCACAATTATTCGTTATTCATTTAAAAGGCTAATGTTACAATTTGGACCACAATTATTCGTTGGCATGAAGTCGACTCAGATAAGGAGTCTTAGAAAACTTACGTCCAGTTTCATGTGTAACGTGCGCGAAGAATGCAGCAATCTCGCGCTTAGAATCATCTACGGAACCAACAGTCCCGAACTGTTGATAGAAACCGAGAGCTTCAAGAAAAGCCGCTCTAGTGTAGAATCCCTTCCCGGCACAGTTTGAGGCAGCTTGATCAGCAATGCCATTGAAAAATGCATCCGTCACGATATTAGGAACCGAAACTCCATTACTACTTGGTGGAGCATAGCAAGGGCCACCCTGGCACCCTCTGCCACAGTAGTCATTGCCAGTGCCACAGTAACCATATTGGCTGCAGCATAGATCCGGTGAACAGCCGCAGTTCTGGCCGTAAACCTCTCCGGGTGAGGTTCCGACCAGAAATATGGCTAGAGTAATTGCTAGCAAATCTTTTCTTGAGTAATAAAAATCCATTTTTCCAAGGATTGTAGGTGAAGTGTGAGGTGTGGAAATGATAGCCGAATGAAAGATATTTATAGTGTATTTGGTCGACTTGCACAAACAAAATGCCCACCAATTCTCTAGAATGCGTGTACAGTTTTTGTACATAGGATGGCTTTGACTTTGTGAATTTGACTTTTTTTTGAGGAAAAATTGCAGAAGCTTCTTTTGTAAATGGTCTGGCACAATAAGCTCCCATTTGACATTCATTTTTACTTTTTTAAAGAAATATTTTGAAGAATGTGTGATTTTATTTTTTTTTTGGAATTTACGTGTAAAATTATTTTAGTAAGAGAATTTGTAATGAAAATGACTTTGAAAAAAATGAGTTTTAAATAACATGGCTCATACGGGACTAAATTTCATCTAACGTTGTGAAGTGGCGAAGTTTATAATTGAAGTCTCCATTAAAATCAGTAACTTAAAGAGTAAAGATTAGCTTGTCTTTTGTACATTTACTATTATTATAAAAGAAAAATTATTGGGTTTGGCTCCAATTAATAAAAATAAAAGGTATGAACAAAATTGGTATAAACTACGAGGACCTGGGAAATAAATATCGAACACAGACACGACTCAGACGAGTTGCCGGCTGGCAAGGAAATTAGAGATAATGAATCCTTGGACATTTAGAAGTGATAAGGAAATAATTTAAGAATAAACGGAAGCTCATCTTTTTCTAGAAGGCAGATGATATTGAAGCAGTCAAAGAATTCCACGGCAGAGATGGAGAAAGAGAAAAGGGGCGAGCTTGCATGTTGATCGTATTGATTTTGCATAGAAAGGTAGTAGTCGTTGTGAGCAGGGGCGGAGCTAGGAAATTCGTTCATTGCGGGCACAATTTAATCAATAATCATAAATGATTAAATTTGAAAAATAACCAAAAATATGTTGAAATTTGTAACTGATACCTCAATAAAAGATTAGCTAATACAAAACTCTTTGGAGTCTCGCATAGCCTCCACTTTTGAAAAAATGGTATCCATTACTTGAGGAATGATGCCATTTTGATGCTCTTCTTCCCTAAAATTTGTACCCACAGTGTAGGACTTTCCTGACCTGGTCTAAGACACAATAACTAATTATAGAGCTTATTTGGGAGTAGTTAAAATCCAATTAAAATTGAAAATACAGTCATTATTGGGTCCCACTCGTCTAATAAAAGTCAGCAACTAATTTTTCAATTTTAATATGATTTTAATCTCTACCAAACACACTCATAATATACCAGTTTACTTGTTATCTTAAACTTCCAAGTGCAACTTATAGATGGAACTAATACTAGAAGTGATAATAATGCATATTTTCACCCCAAATTCCAAAACACCCTCTCTTGAATGAATTCTTCCAACAATGAAACAGTAATATCAAGCTTTAGAATAGCCCTAAAAATGAGGTATATCCAGCATCTCAGTAGTCATAGTCCCATAACCCTTTACAAACCTAAAATAAGCAGTCCCATAAACTATAGAAAATTCCCTCTCCTTCATGGTAAAAAGGTGAAGCCCTCGAATTTCCCAAGTGCTTCCTTTTTAAGGTCCCTCGGAAATTTTAACTGAAAATACCACGTGTAATCGTTTATCATTCCAATTCAGAACTGATGTATATACCTTGAGCTCTACCAATCTCTTTGGACTTGGGGTTCGAGCCTTCGGTGACTAGATCATCGACGGCTAAAAGGGTTCCAAAGTGTAAGATGCTTGTTATCTACCCGTCTTCTCATGCTACCGTTGGATTGAATCAACTGCAAAGCCCAAGACTTAAAAAATGAATGAATGAATTGGACTAGGCCCAAAGTTCAGGCTTGCACTGGACTCTATTGGACTCCGCCCCTAGGGTTCGGGCCTTCGATGACTGGACAATCAACGGCTAAAAGGGTTCTGAAGCGTAAAATGCTTGTTGTTTGCTCGTCTTCTTTGGCTACATTGTCGAAGGGTTCGTAGACGAGAGAGCCGTGAGCGAAAAAGATGAAAGGTAGGTTTTGAATTTGGGGAATTGGGCCGAGTGTTATAATTGTTATCTTGGATTTCAAATATTTCTATCGAACTGAATCAATTGGAAAGCCCAAGACTTTAAAAAAAATGAATGAATGAATGAATTGGACTGGGCTCAAAGTTCAATGCAGGCATGTGCGTGCACTGGACTCTATTGGGCTCCGCCCCTTGTTGTGTGATGTCCACAATGTTGGTCAATGTCTGATTCTTTGCCTTGAATGATTCTTAGAGGTGGAAGTCAACCTCCGAACACCGAATTTTATTACACTTCTGACGGGATTCTTTCTTATATTTTATTAGTATTTTTTTTATTTATTCTTGTTCGTTTTCGTTTTCATTGAGTGCACTACATTTTTGGGAGATTTTTTTTTCCCATAAAAAATGATGGAACAAGATGTAAAAATGATGGAAATAAAAATAAAAATAAATATGTATCTTTTAGTGATTAAATTACCATAAACATTAAAATTAATGAAGCAATATAACATATTAACTTGATCAAACAAACAAATATGCATTAAACACGAGTAAAAAGATTAAAAGAGAAACTTGTTAGGCCTCTGGCTACATGGCAAGTTAAATCATTCTCAGCTAAGCAATAATATCACTTAGGGTCCGTTTGATTGTAAAGGTAGAAAGAAAATGTTTTACTGAGAATTGAATTGCCTAAAAATTGTTTTATTGGGAATTGTAATTAATTGTGTTTGACTGGTATAATTTTTCACCTGAAAAATGTTGAAAGTTTGATATCTGTTTGACTTCATTTTTTATGAAAATTGTCCATTAAAGTGATAATTTTTTCTACCATTGCGTCTAGAATTTGTTCCAATTACCAAAAAGTAAAAAAAAAAAAATTAAACAATTAGAAAAAATTACCATATTCGTTTGACTTTGTTTTGCATAGAAATTATCAACAAAAGTGAACATTCTTTTTGCAATAGTTGATAGAATTTGTTGCCATTGCTAAAAGAAAAAAAAAAGCAAAAAAAAAAAAAGAAAATGAAAATTGCTTCCCACCTAATAGGTGGGAAAACAAATTCAAGAAAATGTGCATAAAATGGTTGCACCTAGAAAAGGTAGGAGAAACAAAAGCCAAGAAAACTTTTGCAATCAAACACCATTAATTGGGTGAAGTCGGAAAATATTTTCTTTTTCCACCTAATTTTCTAGGCTATCAAACACACCCTTAAGTTCTTTTCGAGGCGTAGCCTATCTTTCCGAGGCAATGAAGGAATGATCCATTGCCTATTCGACCACTGCTTTTTGAGACGCTGAAGGCATGGCTCAATGCCTCGTCGACAAGCCTACATCTTGGTGACACTTTTTATTGGTTTATGTAGATGGCATTTGGTGATGAAGCAACAAAAAATACGACCGGGTTAGTTATGTATGAGTATGACAAAAATAGCAAGTTAGTATTGAAAAATTTGGGTGTTGAGAAGAATAACCTCTATCTTATCCAAAGAAAGAATGCTAAAATCTTATATTGAAGATGAGACTCGTAAAGAATCAAATAACACTTTAATCTAAATTCGTTGATTTTAAAAAATATCTGAAGAAGATCAAGAATTAGAGAGCTTCCAAATTTTATATAATTAAAAAAAAAAAAAACACCACAACTTTTGTAAGTGTTTAAATACGAACAAAATAAGAGAAAAATCTTAATAAAACTAAGGATATTTCCCCTTGTACAAGGGAAATACGTACAGGTCCTTTGGTGATTTTTTCTACTATTGTCCATCTGTATTGTGCTACATAGCCCTTGTAATTACCCTGGAAGTCATTCCCCTCGTACGCCAAGCAAAGTCCTGAAACTAATCCAACGCATTTGTTATGAAACATTGTGCTGCCCTGCAATGTCATGACGTTCTACTTTCTAGGCTCCCAATAGTGCCGATATTGTACTATTGTTTTTGCGTCTTGACACTACACCGTCATCCAATTTGACTCACATCCCATCTTCAACATGTCTTCGAGTTGACGAAGTTTCACTCTCAAATCTTGCATCATTTCTTGATCCGCTGCCTCATAGTGGTGGCAATCCACTCAGCATGCCAGCAATAAGAAACATCGACACACTATGGATACGTATATGGCTTCTTCATGCTATCATTGTGTCGCAACTCTTTCTCATTGTCTCAGTGAGTCAAATAAGAACGTGATATCACTAACATTGAGGATTAGATGTGCTAATTAACGAAAGTTAAAACTTAAAAATAAAAATAGAGTAAAAAAAGTTGCAGACATAAAAATACAGTCAATATAACCATTGTTTAATAAATTATAGATATAGCTAAAATATGGCATTGACATAGTCTATATGGTGTGCTTGAATATTCAAAGTAAAACGATACTTCCGGTACTTATGCCGTAATATCTTCAAATGGGCTTCTAGATATTACTACAACTTTCAAAACTCATCAAATGTGTCTGTTGAAGGGATAAGCATTTTAGATTGCCAAACTGTTACAGTAAATGTTCTTTATTTTCATGACTTGTAAGTTCTAATTTATTAGTGCACTCAGGTATTTTTAAGATATTAAATAATATTTCACGAAGCGAGACAAATACTTGATCGATACATCAATGATTCTGAGTGAATATCGTGATTGGACCGACCTAATTTAGTTTCTATTGATTATTAAAATTTTCAAAAAGACCAAAAGAAGTGAAGATTTTTCTCGATGATATTAAGTTCGATACTCTCAAGAAAAGTTGCTGTAGAAGTAGCTGAGATAAACATACTATGTCCGTGTTTGGTTTAATTAAAAGTTTAGATTAAAAAAATTTAAATCAAAATCAACAATTAATTATAATTATACATTTTGTTGTGGTGTGATCCAAATTCCATGTGATTAGAGGAAGTTTAAGGTATCTGAATTTGTAGAGTTCTAATATGATTGAACATCAAATTTCAATAATAATTAGGAAGTTTGGCTTGAAGGAGGATTCTTGGATGGCTAAATGCATATTTTGGATTCTTTCTCCTTCCTGAACTCAAGTAAGATGTTTTATATATAACCACACTGTATCTCCATAATACAACAATTCATATATTATTCTTTACATTTTGATTATAGTGAATTGTTCTCATCTGCCCGTGATTTTTTTCCAAATTGGGTTTCTACGTAAATTCTTGTGTTCTTGTTTTCTTCTTCTCTATTTCATTATTGTCATTATCTTGCTATTCGTTTTATAACACATTTTATAAGACCCCACAACTTTTTAATCATTTATTCAATTAACTTTTATCACAATTTAATAAAAATTCAATTTTATCTAAACCAAGCTTCTTTGACCGGGCTTGAAAAGGTACAAAATGTTTGATATTGGTTAAAGACAAAATCACATTGATAAGTAAGAAGTCTTAAAACTCATACATTGATGTCTACATCAAATAGTGCAATTTATTGAAAAGCAAGCAAATAAGTTGCTTGTACATTAACTTATTCATTCAACAATACTTATCCCCCAAGAACGAGAGGGTTGTAAAGGATCAAGTAGTTAGCATCTCAGATTATTGCCAGGATTAACTTGAAGTTTATTGCAGTAGTCATTGTAATATCCAACTCGAGCATTAACCGCCCCCGAATTGCCACCATTGCATTCATTACCATTAATAGCCCGAATTGTAGCTCCAAAACCTTGGCCTGAAGTTATAATATTGTGACATTGATTCATCCAAAACCAGAGAGCAGTCTTGAACGACACTACGCGATTTGTGGCTACGATTTCTGGATTTCTTAAACCATCAAAACCTATGCTTTTTCCGGCTGATCCGTAGTTGTAGTTCCACGATAGTTGTAGAGGACCTCGCCCATAGTAACCCTTGCCAGGGACACAAGGATACTGTTGGTTATTCGGGTCGCAATAGTTTTTAGATGGGCCGCCTATTTCCTCTATATAGCAGAAATCTACACAAAGAAGTCATTTTTTTTCTGGTTAAGAATTTAAACCCAGTAATCTTAGAAAAGGTTATATAAGCAATTAATTATTGCTATGAAAATAATGCATTCACATTAAAATTACAACTAGCTGTACTTTATCACTTTTCAGCTAAGTTCATGCATTTCATTTTAGCTTAAAAGTAACTCATTTGTAACAAGTAAAAGTTGCTTATTTTGACAGTAAAATACGAGTTACTTTCAAATAGTTAAAAACTTACGTCCAGTCTCATGAGTAACATGAGCAAAGAATGCAGCAATTTCGCGTTTGGAATCATCTGCGGAACCAACAGTCCCGAACTTTGGATATGAACTAAGAGCTTCGAGAAATGCTGCTCTCGTGTAGAATCCCTTTCCGGCACAATTTCCTGCAGCTTGATTAGCAATACTATTGAAGAACGCATCTGTCACAATATTAGCAACCGAACCTCCGTTGCTGGGTGAAGCATAGCAAGGGCCGGCCCGGCACCCTTTTCCACAGTAGTCATTACCAGTGCCACAATAACCATATTGGCTGCAGCATAAGTTCGGTGCACAGCCGCAATTCTGGCCGGAAACCCATTTCGGCGAGGTTCCGACCACAACTATTACCAGAATAATTGCTAGCAGATCTTTTCTTGAATAGGAGAAAACCATTTTTTTGTGTAGGGGAAATGTTAGGTGCTAGAAATAAGTGCAGAATGACAGGTCTTTATAGAGCATTGGTCCACAGCACATTTGCTCAAAAAATGCAGTCAATTCTTGCATGAGACGTGTATGGTTTGGTATGTTATATGACGGAGACTTTGATTCTGTCAATAAATTGTTACAAAATGAGATAAAAAAAAAAAGGATTTAAGTCCATGTTTAGAACTGATTAAAATTTTAATTTTAATTTAAATTAAAGTTAATAATTAATTTTAATATATATTTTACAGACTTACAACATTTCAACGATACATTTCATCAATTTCTATCAAAATCTACTAAAAATTTGGCTAAAAAGTAAATCGTATAACAAGATTTATTAGCAATTATCTGATTTTAAATGAAATTATTACATAATAAAAACATAAAAGATACACATGAATTTGCGAGGACTTGAATATTGAGTCAATGCAAATCTTGAGTAGGAAAATAAACTTTCGGAAAGTCTTGGTCAATTTTGTACGCTTATTAATTGTTTTAGTATCCAATGCATAACGAATTATTGTTCTTTTCAAGGACTAAATCAAAGAAAAATTATTTAAGAAATTAACTTCACTCAAATAATATCATTTCTAATGATGGTGGGTTCCAGTTGTCGAAGGTGGTGGTGGTGTAGAAAATGGCGATGGCTGGTTAATGGGAGAGCTTTGGTTGGATTAAGGGTTTAGATGGTGGATGCTACGTTTTCGTGAATCGTAATGTACGCATGAACAATAATTTGGTCATGATAGAGTGTCGAGCTTTGATACTAAAATGACGAACAAGCAATGTACGACGAAAATTGGTGCAAGATAAGAAACACAGAGAAAAAAGAGAGACGGAGTCACGGAGAGGAATAATATTTTACCTTTTATTCAATAATGATGTGGTGTCTTATTACAAAGTAATATTAAGACTAAATAAAATAAAACTAAGGTTTTACTATATAGCTAGTTAAGGTTATAAACTATATATTGTCTTTAAAAACGAAAATAAAGAAGGTAAAGGAAGTCCTAATTAATTTAGCCCTTGTTTGGTACACATTTTGAAGGTAAGAATGCATTTTTTCTGTAAATGTGATAGAGAATATGTGGTTGAAAAAGAAGGAAATGTTATTGATGTGATGGAAAATATTATTTTATTGAAAAATGTGTGGTTGAAAATGAGTAGAAGAATGAGAATGAAAAAAAATAATGTGGACCAAACATGGCCTTAATTTCTTCTATGCCTCGAATATAGTTTTACCGCTGCATCTGCAAGTGCCAAGGTTTCAAATGGTAGGGTGCTGTAGAGATGGAACAAGTGAATTACTTGGATGGTTCAAAAGAAGGTGAAGGTATTATTTTCATATATTTTCGAGTAAGCTCATTTTTGATATAAATATCTGATTATTTTTAGGATCGAGTTTGAACATCATTTATAAATGTTTTATGTCTAGTAAGTTTCGAAAAGAAGGTTGCAAATGTTATCGAGAATAATTGAATTTTTCTCCTATGATAGGGTCCGAAGGATGAAGAGGCCTTACTGATCTTATAGAGAAGTTAGACGTGAAAAAATGTTCCATTAGTTCACAAGCTTGTAATTTTTGCATTCATTTTCCGATTGCTACTATAAGATGGATGGTTTATTCTGAACATGTTCAAAAATTGGCTACACAACCGAATTTAAAATCTATGAACGAATTTCATAATATTGATACGATATTATTATTACAGTCTTTTCAAAATATAAAAAATCCATAAAGAACAACTATAACATATATTTAAATAAGTATCATTACATTTTGAACAATATCGTTGCGTTATTGCATTTTAAAAATTATTATTATTAGTGAAGTTGTGCCATTCAGATTAAAAACTTGAGTCTGCCCCTGGCTAGGCCTAGCACGCTAGATTATTGCCATGACCAACTTGAAGTTGATTGCAGTAGTCTTTGTAATATCCGATACGAGTATTAACCGTGCCTGGATTAGCACCATCGCATTCAAGAGGACCATTAATAGCCCGAATTGTAGCCCCAAAACCTTGACCTGACGTTATGATATCGTGACAATTATTCATCCAATACCATAATGCAGTCTTGAACGACACTACTTGATCTGTTGCTACGATGTCTGGGTTGTTCAAACCATCAAAGCGTATACTATTCCCTGCTAGTCCGTAGTTGCGGTTCCCAGTTAGTTGTATAGGACCTCGCCCATAGTAACCCTTGCCAGGGACACAAGGATACTGTTGGTCATTCTGGTCGCAATAGTTTTTAGATGGGCCGTCTATCTCTTCTGTGTAGCAGAAATCTGCATAAAGAAATCAATTTTTTTCTTAAGAAAAATTTACTCGAGTTTAATTTGAGAAGGCTATGCTAGATTCTAGAAGTTATTGCTATGAAATAATATGACGAGCTCATCCAAAGAAAATGGAGAATTTCAGCAACTTACGTCCAGTCTCATGCGTAACATGGGCGAAGAATGCAGCAATCTCGCGCTTGGAATCATCGACAGAACCAACAGTCCCGAACTGAGGATAGGAACCAAGAGCATCAAGAAAAGCTGCCCTTGTGTAAAATCCCTTTCCCGCACAATTTCCGGCAGCTTGATCAGCAATTCCATTGAAAAATGCATCCGTCACGATATTAGAAACCGAAACTCCATTACTAGTGGGCGGAGCATAGCAAGGACCTCCTTGACACCCTCTGCCACAATAGTCATTGCCAGTGCCACAATAGCCATGTTGGCTGCAGCACAAGTCCGGTGCGCAGCCGCAGTTCTGACCGGAAACCCCATCCGGCGAGGTTCCGACCAGGAATATGGCCAGAAAAATCGCTAGCAGATAATTTCTTGAAATGAAGAAAGCCATGTTTTTTCTTTTGGGTGAAAATGAGGTCAGAATGAAAGATCTTTATAGTGCAGTGAACAACAGCCTAACCCTTGACCACTTTGGATTGATTGGGTAGAAAGCGTGTAGGGATATGACCTTTGACTTTGTCAATAGCCGCGGTTACTCTACGGAGGAAACCCGATTGATTTGGATTAAAATCTAATTAAAATTTCAAATTAATTTTGACTACATATTTTATGAAATTCACAACTTTTCATCCATGCATGTCATCATCTTTTATCAAAATCTATTAAAAATCTGATTTTAATATCTACCAAACAAGGGCTAAATAACATTCTTTCGCCTAACTCATTACTATACTAATATTCATTCTTCAGAAGAAATTATAGAAACAACTTAATATGTAATAATTGAACTGCTAAATCCTCGTGAGACTTTAATTCCGATCAATCATACTACAATTCCTTATTTTTGCTTTGGCGATCCGATATTTTATGCTCCATATTCTTCTTCAATAGTTTTTGAGGCTTTTATCAAGAAAATTTGTCTAATTCAGTACCTTTACAGAGAAGACAAATGTTACGAGGTTTCTATGTTTATAAAAGGATAAGGGTATTAATGTAATTTGAGGATAGTTTATGTCTACATCCCGTAATTTTCTGTGTTTACAAAGTCAACGGTCAAAAATTTCTGGTAGGTCAATAGGCTTTTAATGGACAATAAATAATAAAATAATGAATTGTAGTTTGAGGAGAGCTTTTGTCCACATCCACATCCCGTAATTTTAATCCGAGGAAATACCTGTGAATAATATGTTGAAAATGTCAATATTCAAGTTTAGCCTTTGAACAAGAAATAGCATTAAAAAAAAGAATCAAAACTAATTTTAAATACCTAAAAAGGCAAAAATACCCTTATTACACGTGAAACCTCCTCCACCGTTCCAAATAAACCGACCAAATCCTCTGAAAAAAAAAAAACCGACCAAAAAGGCCAAAAGGCGACCAAAAAAGGGACCTCCACACACCGTGAATCGACGAGATAGGTTAGTTCTGAACTATTGTTGTGATTTTCTTCGAATTTTTTTGAAATTGTTTGAATTTATTTTGTTTGATTTTGTTGTAGATCGGGTACA